TCAGCCTTAATACTCAGTGCCCTTAAGTGTGGCAAAATGTATTACTCAATAAACAGATAGATAAAAGAAAATTTTAGTTTCCACCGTATACTGCTGATAAGGTGATGCGGGCTTTTGCTTCTCTGCAGATAATTTAAATCTCTGCATAACAAAACGCGACCCCAATTTCTTCATGATGTTATAAATAGTTGAGCACACATCCTCTTTTTTTCAGAACGTCTTCCTAGTTGTAAATTTTCTATTATAACTAAACATGTTTTGCCAACCATACTGTTCTACCATTGCGGAACCATTAACAACAACCCCCTACTTCCTTTCCAGACAACAATGCAGCATAAGTGTATTTGAAGTGATTCTTCTTGCTCTGGTCCATAAAGCACTAATAAAGGAGTGAGATAGCTATCACAGGTGGAAGAGAGAGATAAGACCCAGCTGCCATGAGCGGTTCGTTAGGCGACACCCCTCGCGCCATCCCCTCGCTCAAGAACTAATTTAAATGATTCACAAGAGCCGGAGGGGATCATGTGTGAGCTAATTCTCTCACGACATTGCGGCCAGGTGTTGCGGTCCCGATCATTAGAGCTATCCTCGACAATAAAGCTTATTTATTATTTATTGAGGGCATTTATCACCGCCTATGAACTGCTCAGGGGGTTCATGTATTTGTGATTAGTATCTACTCAACGAGCACTAATCGGCTGGTTAGCAACAGCAACTGGTACAAAATGGAAACAAATAAAACAAAAAGTATAAAATGCAGTTTAGTTTCTTTTATTTAAATTCAATAATAATAAAAATTATAAGAATGTTGACTGAAATAAAGAATATTTTTTCTCAAATGTTTTGTGTAATACACTGTATGAGGATCTGCCTTAGAGAAATAAAAAATATTCATGATTTTATTTATCCATTCCATGTTTCTAAGATAGATAATAAAAAAGATCAATAATGAAATAATAGTTATAAATGTGTACTTTCAAATATCTCGGCACTACAATTATAATGAGGGCTACAGAACTTACTTCTCTCATTCAAAGGTAATGAAATTCCGGACACTTGTGTTGCCCAAATGCGGTCTTGCAAACTCAGTCTTGGTAATGGTCTTAATCTTGGGCAAGACTCTCGCAACGTCCTTGCAGTCACTTATTAGCTTATTACAATAGACATATTACTGTAATTTTTTAGATAAGAGAAACCTAACTTACTGAAAAATTAGAGCAATTAAAATCAAAAGTATATTGGTTACACCAATTATTGACATATAGTAACTAAGATTGTAAAATAATAGTAACTATTTTACCTTAGTTATTTATTGAAAAATCGATTTTTTTTACCAGTCTTGGTCTTGGTCTTGCAACAATTAGGCGACCTTGGTCTTGGTCTTGCAAAGTTCAAGAACAATACGGCAACATTACCGTAAACTCTCAAGAAATCTCAAATGAAGGGCGTTCTAAGCTATGATAAATGCAGTTTTGGTATATGGCTGTATGACCTGACCAGCATAAAGCATAAAGTACCTTGGAAAGTACTTCAAAATGTAGTTGAAAAATCCTTCCCAGGTTAACAGAAGCTATCATCATACAGGGGATCATAATACCAATTCATGGAACATATTAAAATACTAATAAGTCTTGAAGGTTGTGATGCATTATTCAACAAAAAAAATTAAAAACAGAAAAGAAGGGCCAATAATGACCTGTTAACAGAAAGACATTGATCAGTACCTCATGATATGGAATCAAAGAGATAAAGGTGAATAGGATATGTTGCGGGAATCAATCCAACAGGTAGCTTCAATGCAACAGTAAATACCTTAATAGTTGGTAAGAGACCATTTGGAAGGGCAAAAACCTGATAGAGACATCGAATTAACAAAGATAATTTTTTTTTTATCTGTTTATTGAGAAATAATACATTTTGCCACACTAACAAAGATAATTTAAAGCTGCAAATAGATACCTGTAACGAAATAGCCCAAGATGGGTGGAGGTGAGTTGTTGTAGTAAATGAGATTATTTAAATAATTATATTATATTTATTTATTTGGTGTTTCATACATAGTTAATACATTTTTCAAAATAACAAAACTCCAGGAACTTTCTCAATTCCCAATTCAATTTGGTGCTACCTTCATACCTTCACCATCGTAACGTTTTATCTTGGATATTGGAATCCAAGAATCATATAAAAAAAGGAAACATACTAACATTAAGTTATAATATACTGAGCACTGCATTTACATACAACAAGCAGCTCCGTCGATAAAAGTATAAAAGAAAAATATACATACATTCATATACGTACATAAAATACACACTATACATAAAGTAATTTTAAAAACTACGGAAGTAGCAATCCCTCCGCAATATAAGCATTAAGACAGTAATACATAAGTAAATAAATAAATAAATAAAAATAAAAATAACAAGAAAACAAATAAAAACAAAATTAAACAAATAAAAATAAAATAAATAAATAGATAATAAAAATAAAATAAAATAAAAAAAACGTAAAAACGTAACTCATGGCATCGATATAATCACTGAATATAACACTATAAACAGTAACCTGAACCAATTACTGTAATTCATGTGGGAACCTTTAAGGACTTATTGACCTTTACTGCTTTCATTTCTGAATTTCAATGAAATTCTCCAAGCGTTCAGGGTGCTTCGCAACTTGGCACAGACAAGGATCCGGCGTGCGAAAGCTTCCTACTTCCATGAAACCCTTTCCTCAGCTCCTGATATCAAATCGAAATGGCTACTGCTTCGTAAACTTTCCATTGGTAATCCTTCCAGATCCCCTACCGCAGCCTATCCTGTATCCTCCAATGATTTAAACTCTTATTTTATATCTGTCGCTAATATCTCTTCTCTACATTCCTCTTCTAGCTTTTCTCCAGAGATATCCTTTAACGACAATAACTTTTATTTTTCCGACATTTCTCCCACAGACCTGTTAACCGCGGTAATGAAATCCCACACCAATTCCATAGGGCCAGACGGCATTCCTGTCAAATTAATAAAAATATGTCTACCTGAAATCCTCCCAGCTCTCCTTTTTATCTACAATTTCTCCCTTCAGAATTCAGTATTCCCTACCTCTTGGAAAAAAGCCATTGTCCTTCCTTTAAATAAAAAGCCTAATCCATCCTCACCCGACAATTTCCGTCCAATTTCAATTCTTTCTAACCTCTCAAAGCCTCTTGAAAGACTGGTGCAATCCCAAGTCTCCAAGTTCCTCGAAAAGTCCAACCAATTTGATCCTCTCCAATCTGGTTTCCGTCCCGGCTATTCCACACAATCTGCCTTAATTAAAATTACCAACGACATTAAATCTGCAATAGATGATAGAAAATTAACTGTCCTTATTCTTCTAGACTTCTCCAAAGCTTTCGATTCCAGCAACCATTTCATCCTCTTCAACAAACTAAAATCATTATCTTTCTCCAATAGTTCCATCTCTTGGATCCAATCTTTCCTCTCCCAACACACCCAAGCAGTCTCCATACCCAACCAACCACTATCTGCTTTCCTTTCTTTATCCTCTGGAGTTGCCCAGGGTTGAAGCATATCTCCTCTCCTTTTCAGCTCCTACATTAACGACCTACCTAAATCAATTCTCCATTGTTCCCATCATCTCTATGCAGATGATTCCCAGATCTCCCTATCCTTTTCTCCCTCTGAGTTACTGAGGGCATTTGCCAAGATTCAAGAAGATCTTGATCGAATCAATGCCTGGGCAAATGTAAATGGATTAAAGATAAATGCTGCCAAAACTCAGGCCATTTTCATTGGTTCCAAGCCCCTTATTAGATCCCATACTGACTTTCCCATATTACACCTTAATGACCAGCCAATTTTCTTCTACTCCTCTGTTAAAAATTTAGGATTTTTCATAGATCAAACCCTCTCCTGGACCTACCATATTTCTCACATTTCCCGTCGGACAATTTCTACCCTTAAACTATTTCATCGCTTCCGCCATCTCCTACCTCAACATATCCGTAGACTCCTTATTTCCTCTCTCATCTTCCCCCACTTTGACTACAGCTGTGTGGTGTATGATGGCCTCTCGGTGGAGCTCCGTGATAGACTGAAAAGATTAATGAATAGCTGCGTAAGATTTGTTATTGGTGCCCCGAGGTACTCCCATGTCTCTCACCACTACACTGAGTTAAGGTGGCTCTTCCCCTCCTTCCGAAGACAATATTTTCTAGGTACGTTCCTCTACCAAATCATCAACAACCATCGTCCTTCTTACGCCTACAACCTTCTCCAGTTCAAATCCTCAGTCCATTCCCTGTCCACAAGATCTCGACCTTCTGACCTTTACATGCCTTCTCACAGATCTGCCTCATTCCAAAATTCCTTTATTGTTCGCTCTGTCAATTTCTGGAATTCCCTCCCTATCAAAATTCGACATCCCCCTCCATATCCACATTCAAATCCCTCCTATTCCAATTCCTATCACAAAAACAGTCAGATACTTGCTAACCATTCGAGCGGATTTTAATAGAGAATTTGATACATTTTTATTTTTTAATTCTTTATTTTTTTCGGAAAAGTGTATAATGGTCTATAAGAGCAAATAGCTTTAAGTATCTTGTCATAGTATTAATGGTTTTGTATATAGTTTAGTTTGTTTTGTATATAGAATTTTTACCTTATATTTTTTTTACATTATTTCTTTTTTTCGATTGATTTTATTTTGGCCAGATGTAATATTTTAATTTTGTTCTATTTTGTTATTCTCAAGGGACTGTGTCCCAGAATAAAGTTATTTTTCTATTTCTATTTCTATTTCTATTGTAATGGCGTTCATCGTTCTCTTGGGGATGCCCAACATATCCATGTCTTGGAAAGATCTTCGGCACCATATTCCTCTCCAAGTTATTGTGAGCGGCAGTACCTTTATGTCCACGCATGGCACTCCCAGTGTACGCCCGATCGCCATCCTGCAATCTAGGTCCCTATATTAATTGCTTTGTCATTGTTCCAGTGAGTGGTGCTAGGGTTATCTCCGACGACCTGTGCATCTATAATGAAGGCACCGCTTGGTTCTGAGCACACCAGGTCTGGTTTCCGCCTTCGTTTATTACCAATAAACATTTTTTCCTTTGTGACCCTGTATCCTTTCTTATGGAGAGCAATTTCCAACATGTTCAGCACTGTATCATGCCGCCGCACTCTGCCACCGTGAGACAAGATGCAGTGTTGTATAATGTAGCTGGCAGTTTCGCTTGCAGGACACTCAGCTCTACATTGGGTCGGCATAAAGGCCTAACGTCCTCTGGATAATCTCACTCGGGTTGCGAGGGCATTTATGTGGGTTCTTACCGTCTTTATGAAGGTCCGTCCGGTTACCAGAGCCGTGTAGTCTGTCAACCAATGAGTTGATGGGTGGCAGTTTTTTGACTCCCTTAGTGCCTTACCATCAACGCTAGGATATAACTTCATGGACAGCGTTTTCTTCCGTTCTTCACTGGAAGTGATTTCCGAGCTGCAAATAGATACCTGTAACGAAATAGCCCAAGATGGGTGGAGATGAGTTGATGTAGTAAATGAGATTATTTAAATAATTACATACAGTGTCGGGCCTTAGGGTGTGGCAACCCTGGTAATCGCCGCGGGGCGCCGACCGTAACTTTAAATATAAAATAAATATGAGTTCGCGTCCCGGTACTGGAAGAGCTTTTAACTCTGACGTTAATTTCCCCCGACCGGGGAACTCCCCCACATAGGCTAAAAGGCGAGCCAGTGGTGGACGAAAAAAAAAAGAAGTCGAAGAACAATTTGACTGAACAGTAATGTTGAAAAAACCTGTAATTGATGTTAATCATACTTAAGACGCCAATTTAAGCTTAACAAACATTTTAATTTTATATTACTGAGAACCTTGTTCAATAATCTGCTCTTTAATCAACCCAGATTACATAAAATACCACACAAATGTAGAGCTTATTGAAACAAAACAGTGATAGTTAAAGCGTACTGCAGATAATTTTAAAAAACAAAATTAAAATCTCTTTTCAAACTTTTATGGAACCTTCATTTTATATATTTAATAACTAAAATCTATATTAATTCTACCATCGCAATTATGATCTCTACCTCAGAGATTTATTCAGATTTAAAATAATGTCAATTTGAATGTGCTATTATTATTTTTATTCTTTTGAAATAAATAAACCACATTTATTACCCTGATTGTCTGTTTTTGTACCTAGTTAAATCCATTGCTTTTGTTTTTCAGTATGAATTAAACTTCTTTTTTTTAATACTAAGACGAAGAATCTCCACTAGATAAGGGTCGTGGATAACTATCACTGCAGTCACTAAATTAATTAAACATGAAACTCTGGAATTAAAAAAAATAAATAAATAAAAAAGTTTCACTAGCCTTTTTATAAAATTAGTTTCGTATTCTTGGTTTTATTTTTTATTGTTACATATTTGTTATCCACATACATGTTGGTTATTTATTATTACAGATCGTCAATTTGGCCCCGATTCGTGATCTTCAGGGCTAAACCAGATATCTTATTGAAAAAATTAGAACCTACGAATTAAAATAAAATGCTTTTATGTATCTCTTCTATTGTACCTTAAAATGCACAGTAAAATTCTTGTATCTTCTCTACAGATGGGGAAAACTGCTACTTTTTTTCATACAATATTTTGGGTACTCTAACAGCTCTATTAAACTGGACAACAGTTTAGTCCGTGGTACAGACCCCTTTTTATCAGATTATTAACATCCGCAAGAATCTTCGTAAATAGCTTCATTTCGTCGTAATCTACAATCTATCTGGAGGTCGGCGAACTTTGTCTATTTGATTAGGTACTAAAAACTCGTAAATACCCGTTTGCTTTCCACTTGGATTGTAAGACAATTTGATTATTATTTTAACGATTTGAGGGTCTAGTTCGCGCCAAACGGCTCAATATTTTTTAAGGCCACCTTTATTCTCGACTTTTGGCTCAAGTTATCTTACTATTCAAGTGGAAAGCAAATGGATATTTAAAATTTTTTAGTACCTAATAGAATAGACAATGTTTGCCGACCCCCAGATTGAAAATACCCCAATTTCGAGAATTTTTGTGAATAGAATATTTGTGGGTTACGCTGAAATTAAGCTATTTACGACGTTTCAGGCGGATGTTAATAATTTGATAAAAATGTGTCTGTACCGGGGACTAGTTGGGTGACAAAATCTCCCAGTTGCGTAACCAGAGGGTGACCAGAGTGAGCAGTGGGAAACTCTCGGGGGCTGAGTTACACTAGACCCGCACAGTAGATTAAAACGGTTACTTGGGATTGCTTTTCCACGGAGAAATTCTTCTTTACTTGTAGTTTTCAATAGTTATAAGCAATTTTACTGGTACTTCAGGAATCATATTGCAACTTCAAAAATTATTTCAAAGTCTAGTTTTTGATTCCGAAAATTTTCGTAAATAAAATATTTGTAGCTTACGATGAGATGAAACTATATACGAAGTTTCAGCCGGATGTTAATAATTTGATAAAAAGGGGTCTGTACCACGGACTATAATTCATAACAAACAAAATGAATTCTGAAATAATCGTTTATATCTGAGGCTGATATGGATTATCATGATTCATAATCAGTGTGCCATTGATACCGTTCCCAATTGGGGTTATAACATCTTCACTGATACAATTGTAAAGCAGTTTGGTGATTTACTGTCCAATTTTTTTGGGAATCTTTTGGAACTGAAATTCGTTCCGATTTGTAAAGGAATCATATTGCAACTTCAAAATTTATAAGTTTATGTCTTAAAATCAGCAATACATTTTCTCTTCCAGATTGGGCAAAATGACCATCTAGGAATAAATTTGAAGACTATAATTAATGGATTATTCTAAAATATTATAGGGAGCGGGGTAGCTCATTGTGTGAGCACTGACTTTCAGAGTTCAAGGTCCTAGGTTCGAGCTAATGACTAGTCATTTTTCTTTAGCCATGGATCGACCCTTGAATCGGGAGACCCTTCTGGGGCACACCTCTATAAAATGGGTACCCTTTAATAAAAATAATTAATAAATTAATTAAGGAGGAAAACCTGGCAGTTGAGTGTGATATCGGCTCGTCACCTCCCTGCACAACCGTTGGCCTTGTAACTTCCTCACATAGTACTGCTCCGAAGACCCTTGATTGGTTCTAGTATTCCAAGTTTTTTTTTCTAAAATTTTCTTTTGTATATTTTTAAAAATGATTAATATACAATGAGTGATATATATGTGTGTATGTGTGGGTGTGATTCAGTAAATCACTTCGTGAATGAGCTAATGACAGTTATGTGAAGAGGAAGAGCTCAATACATCTCGAGATACCGACAGAAATAAGATAGACCTTCTGGCGTGCAGCCTGTCAAGACAATGGCCTCAGGATATTAACAACCCATAATTAGGGACGATAAATAAAGCCATTCCCCGCCACTATTTTCGAATTAATGTCACATCCCCTTGGGATCCCATTTAAATGAGAAATGGCGGCAGTTACGGTCCAATTACTGACAGGGAATTGGATGGGGCTACTTATCAATATAACAGAGGCTTTGCATGTCCCGTCCTTAATTTTAATTTAGTCCTTCCCTGACTTCGTTTCTTCCTCATTATATTTTGTCATTGTCTTGTTAGATTTGCTGCTGACTAATTCGAATATCTGTCAAGGGCTGTTATTTAAGATTGCAAAGTAAGAATAAATCCTCATTATATTAATCAGAACTAAGTGCAGTAGATTTTCATCTTTAAATATAAATATTTTTTAAGTAATTAAATGGAATCCCCATACCAGATTGAAACGACAGGAAACCGCCTGACGTTTTAGACTACTGCTGTACTTACTAGACAAATGCTCTAAACTTCCAACTATTTACATATAAATCATATATATAACTATAATAAGGCCTATTTGGACTTACGGGATCGAGCTTTCGTGCGCTACTAAACCATCAAATTTCACTCGTATCCAATCCCTACAATCCAAAATCCTTCGTAAAAAAAAATACTCCCTACTTTGTCACAAATAAAATCATCCATTACGACCTTAATGTACCATATGTTTCCGATTTAGCTCATTCCAGATACCTATCCTTCCATAATAAACTTCTGAACCATCCGAATCCTCTTGTTTCCAACCTTACTTTCTCTTCTATTCCTGATAACCCTCCGAGGCGTCTGAAAAGAAGATGGCCTCGGGACCTTCTAATATAGAAATATAATTGGAATGCTACCAATGGGCAGTTTCTCTTCATGTTGTACATGTCATGTAATTTATTTCATATATACTAGTTGTATTTATCATTGAATACAGTTATAAATTACAATAATAATAAAAAAAGTAATTAAATATAACGCACTATATAATTAATGAATTAAAAAATGCAACTGTAATAAGTGACACCTTACAACGTGTTACATGTTATAGAGAAAATCTCAAAGGTCCCAAATTCAAAAAATGGCTCGAATCGCGTCCCCAGATATTTTTTAGTAGCCTGGATTTGGGTCCAGAAACTTTTACAGGTACTCCACTACGGTCCGACCTTTCAGCATTACACAGGAGACACTATCAGTAAATACTATTTAAAGTAATATAAATAAATAAGTTTTATAAATTATTGTTTAGTTTATTAAAACTGTATTATAATTTATATTATTATATTTTTAAATATTTAATACAAATGACCACAAGCACGGAGAAAGCATTATTCTCTCTTTCAGAGATATTCGAATCACGAAAATTCTCAAAAGCATGCAAATGAAAATTAATACAGAGCAAGGAGATGGCCATGGGTGGCGGTCATAAAGAGATTAAAATAGTGGAAAAACTATTTTATTTCAAGCCAAAGTTTCGTTTTAACTGAAACATCTTGCTGAACGCACTCCCCTGAAGAATACCTGCAAATTAGGGACGAAACGTTGTCCTGAAATAAAATAATTTTTCGAATTATTGAAGGAAGCTGGTCGAATGTTCTACATTTCAGAGGTGATAAATATTCAGGACGCAGTCATTGTAAAATTTTTTTAAATGTTTTATTTGTACCGACGTTTTAACCCATACATATGGGCTCATCATCAGGGCTGAACATTTTAAAAAAAATTAAGTGATATGACATTATATGACCGATAATGGTAAATAATAAACTATAGTGATTGATGGTACATGAATCTTAACTAATATTACAATACACATATTAAAAATGAAATATGTAAAAAGTTATACAAACTAAAAATAATGTACATAATCTAT